TTCAATGTGTTCAATTTTATCATAAGAAATTAGTGTATATTGAGAAAATGAGAATAAATTAGTAGTAAACTGTGTCAAGCACAGGAATAGGAAGTTATAATTAATTTGTGTGCCCAGCTTGGATATCTGCTCACATAAATCAACCTGAATAAACTATCAAATCACCTCATTCTTAAGTGATATGTACAAGGAAAATGAATTGGTTACAATAATAATGTATTTAATAAAATGAAAGACAACAAAAATTCTCTAGAATTTCAAATATGTGCAGATAATGACTTGAAGACTGTGGTTCCTGGTTAATCAAACTCCATGTGTTTGCAAATTTGAAAAGCTCATTTGGAGCAAATGCAAACTGTGAAAAGTCTCCCACATGTCAAACTTTTACTGGAAAAGTGTAGCTATCCCTGTATTTTACCAGTTGAAAAAGTGAATGCTCTAGTAAGGTATATCAACCCAAATCACATAGCAGAGGGCCCTCAGAACACATTCCCAGCTTGTTTAACTGTTGTAACCTGATTTGTATAGATCACCTCATTGCCATTTCTCTGACAGCAGGGGTATGTATGTTGCTGATGGTGTCAAATCTGCTCCTTTGGGAGCATGTGTCCTCCAAACCAACTGGCTCTGTGTCCACTGAAGCCCTGTATTATCGAGCGTTTATTCAGTCTCATGCCACATATTTCCTGGCTGGAGATTTATACCATGAGTTTGTAAGTAATGTCCTTTGCTCTGGATTCTTTTCTAAAAGTACCTTCACATAGCTAATCACTAATTAAATTGGAATGAGTCATGTATCCAATTCAATTTTTCAATTTATAGGTAATAGAAAGAATCATATAGCAAAATGTATAAAGGGCAAAATATCAAGTTTCATAAAATTCTCAAAAACTGTAAAGAATTCAATGATATTTCAAATTTTCCTTTACTAATTTTAACAATAACAACTTTGAATTTCTTCACTGGAATTTTTGGTTTTGTGGTCATACATCCTGGGTTCTGTCTTGATGAGCATTCTTAACTTACTGATCTGAAGATAACTAGAACAGGGGAAGTGAAGTTAGTTGGGTGAGTGGAGAGAAATAAACCTAAGGAAATTGAAATCATGTAAACAGTGAAAAACATAATAAAACTAAATAGCTATAGATAAGCTCGTAAATGCAAACAAACCCAGTTTATCATTTTCAGTAATGGGTGTCTTAGTGAAATTGAAGGGCTACATTAGACACCATCTATATTCCCTCTCCCCCAGGGATTTAACTCATCTATCAGGGCCTGTCAGTGAGGAAACAGCAAAGCAAATGTCCATTGAAAATTGAGCATATAGATTTCATATCTCTATATTTATAGGGAATATACATTCCCATTGTTATTTTATCATACTAGTTTTGTCATACCTCTTATTCTCTCTTTATCTTCTAACTGTACATTTCTAAGAATGCTTTAACTCTTAAATTCTTTGACAGTTAGAATTAAGTAATTTGTATTTTCTTAAGAAATATCTTATGCAAGTACATCCTTCATATCATTAGTATAGAAATTTTAAATATTTTTGTGAATTCTTACTTCACTCACTGCTGAATATTTTCTTAAAATGTTTCTAGAATTGAATGGTTAATTGCTGATTGTAACAACATTTGTGACTCTTACATTTATCATAAACTTTTTATTGTATTGACACTTGATGATATTTGAGAGCCAAGTTAAAAATGATCAATTCTTATTTAAAAAATCAGTTTTTGCCAATAATAATAATTATTTTAAATATGGATATATAGTCACAATTCTATGACAGTCAGCCTAGAAAAACTGATACTTAAAGATGTAATTAATTAGAGGCTTGGGTGCATCTTAGTGCTTTCTTTCCAAACAATAACAATAGCAAGTGCAGTACAAGGGAAGAGATTGAGAGGACGTTCAGGTAGATTGCATATGGAAGGGGAATAAAAGGTAGGCAAATGGTGTTTCCATCATTCTACTGTTTCAATTTTTGTTCTTAAATATCTAAAATGCAGGGTTAATCAAACATAGCATGTTTGTTTCTACTCAATTCTGAATCCTCAGTAAACTAAATCATTTAATTTCTTCCAGGAAATGAATTATTTCAATACCTCTTGGATCAAGAACTGGAGGCTCAGCCTATGCCACACTGATTCCATCCACACCCCACAGTCTCATGAAGAATTCCATGAAACTAAAGTAGGTTTCCTCCCTGTTTTATAAGAAACAGATTATGCTATACAGAGGTAACTGTGCTGTGTGTGATTACTAAGCCAACAAGAGGTGTGGTAATTTCTGATCCAATCAAAATGATGTGACTCTCAAGAACTATCACATCATACAGATGATAACCTTAGCACTAACTAAAATGTCTGCCAAATCATATTGTCCCAGAATTGTAGCTGTCTCATATAAAAATATTTTTACCAACACCTTCTGCTTTTCCCAGGGGAGTTTTGATCTGAACTGTACACTCATTTTTAATATATAAATATACATATAGAGTAACTGCAAATACCTTTGTGTTTATGGTATATAGCACTAAAGGATTCTCCTCTGGGATCACATTACTAAACTAAGTCATGTGCCCATTCTTCTTATCTTTTTAAACTCTCCTGGACCTATTTCTGTTCACCCTAATTTATACAGTCTTCCCTGACTGAAATGCCTTTTTCTACCTACATCTTAACTGTACAAAAGACTCTTCTCTATACTATATCATGTTCCTCTGGGTGACTTCCGTTTGGAAGACATCTACATAACTCTGAAGATCTAATGTATATGTGTTATGATCTCTTCACTCTGTCTACCTGTCATAAACATCAGTTTTATTTATATAAACTTAATATATATAGCCATTTCACAGACTATTTCTGCAGTAATTCAAGTGTTATCAAGACAAATAACTCCTATACAAGATATTCTCATGAATAAAGTGTGTTTATAATAAAGAAAAAAACAGAACAAAATATTTATACAGATTGTTTTTCTACACAATATAAATAGCACACTTTGACACTGAAATATTTAATGTTGAAAAACAGTCTCTGATAACAGTACTTTTAAGACACCAATGAACTGTGGCTCCAGACTGTATGCAGAAGTCATTTTCTTTGCATATTAAAGAGAATTTACACTAAACTTCTTTCATGTCATGTAATCATTCTTAATCCTTTTTCTAATACTGCTTGCAATATGTTGGTTATCACCATTGATGTCTCCATTTCGTTCATAAACATTTTGTTTAGATTATAGTTGAATTACTCTCTACTCTTTATTATCATATCTACTATTATTTATAGCCTCTAAGAGTACTTACAAACATTATAAACAGTTAAGAAGGAATTTATTTTGTATGACTCTGGCCTTGTATTAACAGTTACCGGGTCAAAATTCCAATCTGATTTCTACCAATGCCTGGAATGCTTTAAAATATTTTTCTTCTGTACAAGTCAATATGCAACCCCTCTAGAATTAAGGGCAGCAGGAATCATGCAGATACAAGGAAAGCAGGATTTGATTTTATTAAGTATTTTGTCTAAAGTCACCTGTTTTAATATTCTACCATAGTAAAAATTCTCAAGTAAGTATATGAGAGACCAATTTGATTCAGTAGTATAGAAATGATTTGAAGCTTTAATTCCTGACATTGTTGGCATCTATGTAGTATGCGTCATATTTTGGACACCTTCTGAGCCCTATAAACCTAATTTTCTCATATGCTGGGTAAGCAATGAAAGAGAACAGTTCAAACAACCAGGACAAATGGTAGAATGTAAAAGAAAAACAAAATATGATCATTTTGAACAGTCGAAATTATTAAGACCCAATTTGTTTTATTTAGCAAAGTAGAATTCAGTAGCTGAAATTTTATTTTCAGGTAATATTTATATATTTTGAAGTCATTAACATATATTACTACTAATAAAAATACACTGTAGTTTGCCTCCATTGTGAAAAATGCACAAGTATCTATTTACACAGCTGTATAGATACACTTAGTTTAAGGTGATGTCCAATGATGTTTTCCTAGACTGAAGACCTTCTAAAAGCAATGATCACTATGTCCCATGCCTGGGAAGAACCACTGAAACACCTGATTTCTGCAGTGCCCACTCTCAAGGAATCTTCTGATAAAATGCTTCAAAGAACCAATGCTTTGAGGAACAGAACCCTTGTGCTTCAGGAAAGAATGAAGATCATACTTACCAGGGTAAGGTGTTTCAACACGTGTCTTTGGTCATTCTATTTATAAAGTTTGTGAATTGTGTAACTCAACAAGAATTTTGAAATACCCAAATACAAGGTCACTTAATAAGCCCTTAGAACAGTGATCTCTGTAGAAAATAGTTCTGTGCCTCATAGTCATTTTGACAGTGGCTTTCCTGGATGGGGTGGACACTATAGCCTAATGTGCAGAAGATCATATAAGTCACTGCCTGGATTACCTGCACACAGTACGTTAAGTGAAATATACTGCTCGTGTTCAAGGATTCAATTGAGTATATAAAATGTAGAATGGATTTATCTGAAATGAAGGAAAGGATCAGGACACTCTACCAGAACTAATATGGTATGAAGGACACATCAAGGAAAGTACTGAGAACATGTAAAACTCCCCAAAGGGAAAGTACTGATACTAGCCTTTTCATGGCATTTTACTTAATTCCATATATACAGCCAAATAGCACCTCCTGTACACTTGTGTATGGATCTATCTCATCTGAGATCAGTGGCATGTCAAAAAATACATATGCCTGTCTCCAAATTATGTTTTGGTTTCTAATGCATTTAGCCCAACTTCCAGGGTTTCTCATTATAAATTTATCGTCTTCTGTGTTTTACCAAAATTAATTAAAAAATTATAAAGCATGTGCACTGGGAGATATCTCATGTCTGTTAAGTGCCTTCCTTCCATGTGTGAGGACCTGAGTCCAGTTTGAGGATTTGTATAAAATGGGTGATGGGGGTCTTCCCTTTGTAGTCCTTAGACTAGTGGCTCATACTTAAGGAGTTTAGTCATGAGTTGAAGGTAAAAGTAAGAGCAGATTTCTCAAAAATCAAAGTAGGCTTCACTGGAGGTACTTTACCCAAAATTGACCACTGACATCGAAGTCATGCCTATTACACAGACAGAGAGAGAGAGAGAGAGAGAGAGAGAGAGAGAGAGAGAGAGAGAGAGAGAGAAACAGAACTCATGAAGGGATAATGTGAATAACACCTGTCCATTTGATGTTTAGAGCCAGAATGAATTTGAAAAAGATCCCTACCCTGCCTGGTCTGGACTGGCAGACTTGCAGTCATCTGATGAAGACACTCGCCTTTTTGCCTTTTATAGCCTTCTCCGCTGCCTGAAAAGGGATACTCATAAGATGGACACTTACCTTATGATGCTGAGGTGCCGAGAGCTCTTTAAAACTGAGTGTTTTCATGACTGAGTGCTGACTGCACAACCCTGCAATGTCTTGCTGTCATGAGCCTTGTTGAACCATAACTGTAGTGCTTTAATTTCTTCTCAGTGCATGCATGGCTATAATGGATCTCATTTATACATTGAAATCTAATTCTTTAGAAACAACAGATTTAAAGTGAAATTCTAAGTGTCTTTTATTTCATTTAATATAATATGGATCCAGGCTTTTGTGATGTACATATAAAAATCTGAACTTTGACAAGTGTGGTTGATATATTGTGCACCCAAAAAAACTTTATCTGGGGATCAGAGAACAGAACAGCCTCTAGATGAGACATAGGGCAGACAGTAGTGACATACATGACTTTAATCCTATCACTCGGGAGGCAGAGCTCTGTCTGGATCTCTGTGAGGTCAAGGCCACACTCTGAAAAGAACCAGACATGGTGGCACACACCTTTAACACCAGCACTTGAGATCTAATGCCTTTGCTACCAAGTATTTGGGATCACAGGTGTCTTTAATCCCAGCACTAGGAAGGAAGTGATATCTGGGCAGAGAAAGTTATATTTGTCTTTAATTCCAGGAAGTGATGGCAGGAAGCAGAAAAGTACATAAGGCATGAGGACCAGGAACTAGAGGCATTTTAAGCAGTTTACTGAGACCCTCAGGGGTGATAACTCAGAAGATTTCATTTTGAGGATTCATGAAAAAAGGATCAGCTGAGGAGTTGGTGAGGTGAGGGTGGATGTGGCTTGTTCTGTCTCTCTGATCTCTCAGAATTCACCCCAATTTCTGGCAATGTTTTTTTTTAATAAGACCATTTAGAAATCCATGTGCTGGGCAGTGGTGGTGCACTCTTTTAATCCCAGTATTTGGGAGGCAGAGGCAGGCAGATCTCTATGAGTTTCGAGTCCAGCCTGGGCTAGAGAGTGAGTTCCAGGAAAAGCGCCCAAACTACATGGAGAAACCCTGTCTTGAAAAACATAAAAAGAAAAGAAATTTGTATTACAGACAAGCACAGAAGACAGCATAAAACTTATTTTAGATCTCAGTGAATGAAGGTAGATAATACATTTAGAACCAAAATAAGAGATTGTTGTTACTCATTGGATCCATTGTATCAAGGAGATGGATATTTAAGGGACTTTATAAAGAAAACCATTCTCTGAGCAAATTTTTAGTCTAATAACACCCAATACAGGTTCAATGATATTGGACTATCCCTAAGTATTATTAATTTAAACATTCAAAAATGTAGTAAGAAAGAAGTATGAAACAGATCTATATTTCTCTAGAAGTCCATCTGCCACTTAATCAATCTTAGGACCATCTTAGGAGAGAAGCTGAAATTCCCTTTTATGTAGCTCAGAATCCAAGACTATTTTACTACTTTAAAAATGAAAATATAAAACAAACAAGTATTTCCCACATTTATAGACACAGTGCAACAGGCCAGAGGATGTGGTGACAAGTTTCTCAGTGGTGATATTCAAATGAGTCTGAAGTTTTCAGGCAGGATTAAGAGAAAGTATAAGTAATCTATAAGGATACCAATGGGAAAGCAGAAAAAATTTTGAGAAGAATTAACATTTATTCACTTTCACACCAGGATGGCTCTGCATTCTACTGCTGCTTGGGTATTCAACTTATAAGATTACATTTGGGGTTGGGGATTTAGCTCAGTGGTAGAGTGCTTGCCTAGCAAGCTCAAGGCCCTGGGTTCGATCTTTGTTTCTGGAATAAAAAAAGATTACATTTGAAGAAACTGTCCTAGCATAACAAGAAAAACAGCAATCATATTAAAACAGACAAAAATTGTAGACAAATATTGACCTCATAGATTAATAAATTTTATCATGAACATTAAAGTTACAATGTGAGATGAAAAGAATGTGTTTTTAAAGAGATTTTTTCTGAAATGGAAATGTCATATAAATAAACAACCGTTATACTGAGATCAATATAAAGGTGGATGTACTCAGTCAAAATAAATCAGAATTTTTCAGTGGTTAATAAAGATGAGAGTATGAAGGCAGAGTTTCAGGATGCTGATGGTTTAGAGCTGGACACCTGAAAGCATGATGGAACACTGACAAATAGGAAGATATCACATCTAACAATTCTTGAATATTCTATGATATAACTATTCTGATTTTGGACAAAACTCTGAGATAGTCACATATACAGCACTTTAGAGAAGTAGTAAATAACTATAAATCATGTTTCCTCTAAATGGGTACTAGTAATCTCCTATGATATTATGATGTATACATTACTCCAGGGTAATCACAGGAAAAGCCTGGTTTTTTATAGAGGATTCATAATTTCAGCAGGAAGATTCATGGCTGTCTGGGAAAGGACCATGGTGTCAATGTAGGTATCGAAGGCAATTTGGAGACCAAAAGAAATACTTTAGATGTGGAAAATGAAATAAAGTAAATCCAGTTTTGGGGTTTGTTGACCTGTGAAGTTGGTAGACAAGTACTGAGTCCAGGCAAAATTTGAGATATCATGGAGTTGTTTCCCAAAAAAAAGTCAAGAAAGTAAGAAAATGTAAGAATGTAAGAAAATGTAAGAAAGTCAGCTTGACTAACAGGAAAGAAACAGGGTAGCAGGAACATCACTAGCCACAACTCTAGGATAAAAGATGCAGAAGATTAAAAGAGACCAAGAAGCTGAAGATCAGAATAACTGAGTGATGGAAAACCCAGAAGAAGACAATGAGATAAATAAAACTTGGTGTAAATATTCATGAACTTTCTTTTCCTGTATTTTATTATTCTATTTGCCAGAAATTACCAAAAATATTCTTAGGTTAGTAAATAATAAACCAACATACTCAGAAGATTTTACTATGGCTCAGTAAAGTAGTCTTCAGTGATAGGGTTGAATCATCATGTTCTAGCGGGTAACTCAGACCAATGGCAATAACCTGTATTGTTTGACAGTCTATGAGGCCTCTCATTGGCCAACAATTTTGATAGAAGTGACCCATTCCTAACAAGAGGTCTTTTACTTGTTTGTTTGTGGTGTCTAATATGGATAATGTTGTTCCACTGTAAAATAATTGTATTGAGCTTTTTAAAATATATGCATATGCTTGTATTTTAGGAAAATTCTATATTAAGATTTTTCACATTACTTTTTCTGAAAGCCTTTAGTGTTAGTTATTTACCTGTATTTCTTTTTCTGTCCTGTCCTATAATCCCTCACATCATTTAACATTTCTTATTCCATTATTTCCTTAACCCTATCATATATCTTCATTTTAACTTCTCTCTCTTGAAAGAAACCATTCCCATCTGTCCATGGACTATTACTAATTTTTGGACATATGTGAGCATTTAAAATTGTCTTGTAGCAGTTTCTTCCAAGGTTAAAAGCTTGTATCTTGCAAGGAAGCCCATTGAAACAAGGGATATTTACAGGGAAGTAAAAGAAAAGGAATGTTCAAGGGGAGGTAAACTTTCTATCTCACAGGGAAGCTTATTACAGAAAGTATACAACACAAATAGCTTCAGAATTTCCATGAAATTGACCAGATTCCCTAAGTACCTCTATCCACAAGAGTATATAAGCTGGAAAGCACAACTGTCTATGGAAGACAGATTAGTCAAGCTACTTGAAATAAGTAGAGAGGAGCCAGGCTACGTATAATAGTCACAGACCAGCTAAACTTTGTGAAGAGCTCAGACAAAGTGAGAATTCTGAAGAGAATACACTACAACCCATTGAGCTGCTTGAAGGTTGGATAGTATGCTTCATTGCTCCAGCTTTTGTGAAATGTCATACATGCCAGGATTGGTTATGGCGGTTTGCTCCTTATAGCTATAGGAGGAGTTCCTTCCTCCTATAGCTAATGTAAGCATCACTTCATACAGATTACTATAGGTAGCCACAGTGAAACTCACTAATTCACCAAGTTTGACTTTGGTGCTATCCCTACTTTAGTCTGTCATTGGTGAATAGATTTCTATTCAAGTATCCCTGGGAATTGTGCCACATAACACAAATAATATACACAAATCTGAAGATTCAAAACTAATATTCACAAGTGAAAGAAATGAAATGTTTGTGATTCTGGGTCAGGGTTAACTCATTAAAAGGTGTTGTTTCTAGGTCCATTCATTTACCTGCAAATTTTATTTTTCTAAACTGCAAGATAAGATTATATTGTGCCCCCATTCAGGTCATCTCTCCCTATACTCTCTCTCCCTGTCCCCTCCACACCAACCTGATTTGGGTGATGATGTGGAAACGTAGTGCAGTGCAAAGATCCTGGTATCTATGAGGGCATTCTTAGCAAGGACTTCTAGCAATGATGAATATGGAGCCTGAACCTGCCATCTTTTCTAACTAAGCAAGTCTTCCAATGGTGGGACTGAGATACCAAGCCAGTCATCAAACCTTCAACCTACAACGTCTTCTGACTCCAAGATGTGCTGGGGCAATGATGGATCAGAATTTGTGGGAGTGACAAAACAATGACTGGTCTAACTTGAGGCTGACACTGTGAGAGAAAGCACATGTGCATCACTGTCTGGATGTCCAAGATCCTGAAGCTGGGTAGCTCAGAGACCTAGAGTAGAACCAAAGAGGACTGGCAAAAGTAAATAGAATCAAATTAAAAAGTCAAGGAGATGATCCCTAATGATATTCTGCTGTATTCATAGATCTATGCCTACCCTATCATCAACAAAGTTCCTTCCTCCTATAGCTAATGAGAGCAAATGCAATGACCCACAACCAAACATTAGGCAGAGGTCAAGAAATCCCATGGAAGATAGAGAGGAAGGATAGTAGCAGTCAGAGGGGTCAAAGACACCAGAACACGGCCCACAAAGTCAACTAAGAAGAGCCCATAAGGGCACCTGAGCCTGCATGGATGATCAAAGAGCCTGCACAGGTCTGCACTCAGTCTTCTGCATATGTGCTATAATTACTTAGGTTGAGGTTTTGGTGGAACTCCTAAAAGTGGGTGTGGGGGTTTCTCTGACTCATTTGCTTGCTCTCAGTACCCTTTTCCTCTTATTAAGTTGCCTCTTCCAGCCTTGATCTGATTATTTGTGGCTAGACTTACTACATCTTCTTATGCTGTTTATGGCTGAGATCCCTGGGAGGCCTGCTCTTTCCTGAAGGCAACCAGAGGACCAATGCATCTGGGGACAGTGGAGGAGG